CAATGGAGTACAAATTTTCTTTTTTGAACGTGCATGAAAGAAGAATCAATGGAGTCCAACTTTTCTTTTTTGAATTTCGTGCACGAAAAATTAAAACCGAATGTTGACTTTGAATGAAAGTCCTCAAATTGCATCTTCGTGTAGGAATTGAGTAATATTCTTTTCATGAATTTTGTATTTGAAGAATGAACATTGAACGTTATCAGGGCGGTAAAACTCAAGTTGTTCCTTTAGTAGGTATGAATAAGTTTTCGTGTGAGAAAGTGAGTCCAACTTTTCTTTATGACTTTTTTGCATAAAAAAAACAAAAATTAATAAACAAAAAACTGAAATTTACCCTGAAAGTAAAGTCATCAAGTTGTTCCATCAGGAGGTAAGGATGAAGGAATGTGTACAATATGACTCCTAGTTTTCTTATTTCCGGCTTTACCACTGGCATAGCTCAGTGGTAGAGCGCTGGCTTTGCAATCCCATGGTCCAAGGTTCGCGCCCGGCTGCCCCTCTCGGTCGAGTCAGTTGTGAGTGAGCACGGGTATGCTGACGCCAGCATGCTAGATCATCATCATCATCATCATCATCATCATGACCGAGGATTAAAAAGAATGTTATATATATTAGCGAGAGTTAAGAAGAATATGTCTATATCTATCTATCTCGTATCTATCCATGCTAACGCCAGCATGCTAGGGTCAAAAGTCGGGGCGGCGAGGGACTGGCCACCATACCGCATCATCCCGCTGCTCAGAAAGCATGTTTCTCTTCCAAACATGGATATGGGACCAACTTTGACTTTTGACATAAAAAAAAAAAAAAACGTTTGGAAACTGTTACAAGTAAAGTGAATACCGCAAAGACCCATGTACCAGCTGTAGATGTACATAAGTGGAAGTCGTTAGCCACTGATGGTTGATTTCATAAAAAGGAATAATTTCAAGCGCAAATATCAACTACCGGGTGGCGTTTCCTACAAACGAAGTGAAAAAAAACGTTAGTGTAGGAAGTCAGGGTATGTAAGGATTCGGTTTGTTTGTTTCTCGTTTGGCCTGTCACTTCATGTCATTTATATCATTCATGTCATTCATGGCACATCGCAAGTGTCCTAAACGTGTTAATACAGAATCCATCCCCTGCAAGAACATACTTAAGAGTTCATTATAAAGTGGAATGTAATCATCGTCCCATGAAATAGGTTTTCGTGCAAGGAATGATTTAGAGACGCACGTACGTAAATTCCTAACAGCATAGTTTAGCTTTTTACTCAAGTAGTAATTTTAAATGGAGTGCTTTTGGTGCTTTATTCAGCTGTAGCTCTTTTGTATAAGGAATGAGTTTAAGTTGGCTTCATGCTGGGGAAAGTATTAGTGCAAAGAATATGCTTCGCCAAAATTAGATGCTTTGTATACACTGCAGAATATTCTTATGGGAGAATACTTGATCTATTCTTTTTATAATAAATGCTTATGCTTTCGAATTGCCAAAATTTCTTCACGTAATTCGGTTTTATTTAGAAGCGAACTTGACAATCTTCGAATGACATTTGCATAGTCGGGCAACACCAGTGCAGATTTGCATTTTTTTTCTTTTTTTCCTGTGGCATTTTTTTTACCAGTGGCAAAATATCCCCCCCCCCAAAAAAAAAAACAAAAAAAAAACGAAGGCAATGTGTGTTACGCCCTTGCTAAAATATTAAAAATTATGATGTTATTCCTGTTATAAATATATGCATGTCATATATGTTACGTCTCTTGTTCAACAAACTGGAAAATACAGTGAACATATACGTTTGTTTATCATCATTGTTATATATATTTTTGGAAGTTTTTTTTTTTTTTTTTTTTTTTTTTTTTTTTTTTTTTTTTTTTTTAAGAAAATATAGGACGGGACATTTACAATGCTATGATTTTTTGGAAGCAATGCTAAAACCAATGATATATATGAGTACAGGACATTGTGTAATATTTCCCTTTCGTTCATTTTTGATTGTAAAATTATATGATCTGTTATCGCATTATTAATATTTTTGTTATCGATATTGTTACTATTTTTGTTATCGTTATTATTTTTATTTTTATTGTTGTTGGTGTAGTTATTATTATTACTATCACTTTTGTCATCATCATCATCATCATCATCATCATCGAGAATTAAAAATAATTTGTTATATATATTAGTGAGAGAAAAAGAATATGTCTATATCTATCTGTCTCCTATCTATCCATCTATATTTCTATCTTCCTCTCTATCTATCGATCGATCTATATGTCCTTTATATTCACGACCTTAGATGTTGCTGAAGATGAATAAATTAATGTAATTTAAGACTAACTGAGAGAATTTGATATAAATGTACCATGAACAAAATAGTTCCAACGTGGACCAGGCAAGATTCCAGTATTAAAGCAGGAACAATGTGAACAAAGGAATGCCTGCATAATAGAGTGTGAGTCTGAACAAAATATTATGAATATGTACAAATATATCGAGGAAAAAGATATTTAGT